TCATACTTCAAGGAACCAGAGAAACAAGAACAAACCAAACCCAAACCCAATAAAAGAAAAGAAACAACAAAGATCAGAGCAGAACTAAATGAAATTGAAACAAAAAAAATTCAACAGATAATGAAACAAAAAGCTGGTTCTTTGAAAAGGTGAATGAAATCAATAGACCATTAGCAAGATTAACCAAGAAGAGAGAAGATCCAAATAAGCTCAATTATAAATGAAACATGAGATATTCCAACTGATACTACTGAAATACAAAAGATCATTCAACGCTAGTATGAACACCTTTACATGCACAAAGTAGAAAACCTACAAAAGATGGATAAATTCCTGGAAATATACAACCCTCCTAGAGTAAATCCTCCTAAACCCCTAGAAGAAACAGAAACTCTGAACAGAACAATAGCAAGCAGGGAGATTGAAATAGTAATACAGGCCAGGTGTGGTGGCTCACGCCTGTAATGCCAGCGCTTTGGCAGGCCAAGGCGGGCTGATCATTTGAGCTCAGGAGTTCGAGACCAGCCTGGCCAACACTAAAAAATACAAAAATTTCCTGGGTGTGGTGGTAGGCACCTGTAATCCCAGCTCTCAGGCGGCTGAGGTAGAAGAATTGCTTGAACCTGGGAGGCAGAGGGTGCAGTGAGCCAAAATTGCGCCACTGCACTCCAGCCTGGGGAACAGAGCAAGACACTATTAAAAAAAAAAAAAAAAAAAAAGGAACAGTAATACGAAAATTGCCAACAAAAGAAGTCCAGGACCAGACAGATTCACAGCTAAACATTCAAAGAAGAATTGGTACCAATCTTACTGACACTATTCTAAAAGATACAGAAAGAGGGAATCCTCCTTTCAATCATTATATGAAGCCAGTATTACCCTAATATCAAAACCAGGAAAGGATATAAGAGAAAAAGAAAACTACAGACCAATATCCCTGATGAACATAGATGCAAAAACCCTGAACAAAATACTAGCTAACTGAATCTAACAGCATATCATAAAGATAATCCACCATGATCAAGTGGGTTTCATATGAGGGATGCAGGGATGGTTTAACGTATGCAAGTCAATAAACACAATACACCACATAAACAGAATTAAAAACAAAAATCACACGATCATCTCAATAGACACTGAAAAATAATTTGACAAAATCCAGCATCCTTTTATGATTAAAACCCTCTGCAAAATTGGCATGGAAAGGACATACCTTAAGGTAATAAAAGCCATCTACAACAAACCCACAGCCAACATCATACTGAATGGGGAAAAGTTGAAAGCATTCTCCCTGAGAACTGGAAGAAGACAATGATGCCCACTCTCAGCACTTCTATTCAACATAGTACTGAAAGTCCTAGCCAGAGCAATCAGACAAGAGAAAGAAATAAAGGGCATACAAATCAGTAAAAAGGAAGTCAAACTATCTCTGTTGACTGATGACATGATCACGTATCTAGAAAACTCTAAAGATTCATCCAAAAAGCTCCTAGAACTGATAAATGAATTCAGTAAAGTTTCAGGATACAAAATCAATGTACACAAATCAGTAGCATTGCTATACACCAACAGTGACCAAGCTGAAAATCAAATAAAGATTCAACCTCTTCTACAATAGCTGCAAAAAAAAAAAAAAAAAAAAAAAAAATGCTTAGGAATATACCTACCCAAGGAAGTGAAAGACCTCTACAAGGAAAACTACAAAACGCTGCTGAAAAAAATCACAGATGACACAAACAAATGGAAACACATCCCATGCTCATGGATGGGTAGAATCAATATTGTGAAAATGACCATACTCCCAAAATCAATCTTCAAATTCAATGAAATTCCCATAAAAATACCACCATAATTCTTCACTGAACTAGAAAAAAAATCTTAGAATTCATATGGAGCCAAAAAAAGACCCTGCATAGCTAAAGCAAGACTAAGCAAAAAGAACAAATCTGGATGCATCAGATTACCAAATACCCTATATTATAAGGCCATAGTCACCAGTACAGCATGATACTGGTAAAAAATAGGCACAGAAACCAATGGAACACAGTAGAGAACCCAGAAATAAACCCAAATACTTACCGCCAACTGATCGTCGACAAAGCAAACAAAAACATAAAGTCTGAAAAGAACACCCTGTTCAACAAATGGTGGTAGAATAATTGGCAAGCCACATGGAGAAGAATGAAGCTGGATTCTTATCTCTCACCTTATACAAAAATCAACTCAAGATGGATCAAAGACTTAAATCTAAGACCTGAAACCATAAAGATTCTAGAAGATAACATTGGAAAATCCCTTCTAGACATTGGCATAGGCAAAGACTTCATGACCGAGAACCCAAAAGCAAACGCAACAAAAACAAAGATAAGTAGATGGGACCTAATTAAACTAAAGAGCTTCTACACAGCAAAATAAATAATCAGTAAACACATAACCCACAGAGTGGGAGAAAATCTTCACTAACTATGCATCTGACAAAGAACTAATATCTGGGATTGATAAGGAACTCAAATAAATCAGGAAGAAAAGAACAAACAATCTTATCAAAAAGTGGGCTAAGGACATGAATGACAGTTCTCAAAAGAAGGTATACAAATGGCTAACAAACATATGAAAAAATGCTGAACGTCACTAATGATCAGGGAAATGCAAATCAAAACCACAGTGCAATACCACCTTAGTCCTGCAAGAATGGCCATAATCAAAAAACCAAAAAAATAATAGATGTTAGTATGGGCGTGGTGAAAAGGGAACACTTTTACCCTGCTGGTGGGAATGTAAACTAGTATAACCACTATGGAAAACAATGTGGAGATTCCTTAAAGAACTTAAAGTAGATCTACTATTTGATCCAGCAATCTTACTACTAGGTATTTACCCAGAGGAAAAGAAATCATTACATGAAAAAGATACTTTCGCACACGTTTATAGCAGCACAATTTGCAATTGCAAAAATACGGAACCAGCTCAAATGCCTATCAATCAATGAGTGGATAAATAAAATGTGGCATATATATATATGAATACTACACAGCCATAGAAATAAACAAAATAATGGCATTTGCAACAACCTGGATGGAACTAAAGACCATTATTTTAAGTCAAGTAACTCAGGAATGGAAAACGAAACATCATTTGGTTATTGCTCCTACTTATGTTCTCACTCATAAGTAGGAGCTAAGCTATTAGGCTACGAAGGCATAAGAATGATGTTGGGGAACTCAGGGGAAAGGGTGGTGGAGGGTGAGGGATAAAAGACTACAAATTGGGTACAGTGTATACCGTTCAGGTGATGGGTGTATCAAAATCTCAGAAATCACCAATAAAGAACTTATTCATGTAACCAACCACCACCACCTGTTCCCCTGCCAAAAGAAGAAGGGAAAAAGCAGAGAATGCTTTGGTTGGCACTGGATGACCCAAAGCCTAAAGGAGAATACTTGGGAAGTACCAAGAACAACAATTTTCTTATTTACTGAATGTGATTCTGATGCAGATTCCAGCAGTACAAAGACAGCTGCAAAATGGAAGTTTAGGTTGCCTTTAAATAGAAGGCATGACCAGTTGTCATATACTTAGGGAAGCAAAAGGCAGCAGCCTCTCAGAAGGAAAGACCCCATCACTGCATGACCCGCAGTCATGCAAACACAGCTCAGATAGTTAGAGGTGGGCTGATGCTAAGCACTTAGAAGCCCCTAGGCACCCTCTAGAGCAGATGAAAGAGTGCTAACCTAATTTATATTAGAATGAAGCCAGAGAAAACACCATCAATGCCTTTGCTATTTTGAGACAATTTCTGGCTTCCTCTGCGTTTAGTATTTGTAGTTTAGCTTTCTTTACTGGTTTACATCTGTATTCTAACTTGTATTAGAATAAGACCTCCCTCCTTAAAGCTGGAGTTTGAGGTGGGGTATATGTATGTCTTATAACCACCTCTGAATAAGGGAGACTGGGAGCCTTGAATTCTGTCCCTTACCAAACATAGGGAAAGAGGAACATAGAACAGTAGATGCTGGCAGAGAAAGAAGTTAAAGGACTAACTCTCTATATAATCCCAAATATAATGTGGCAAGGTGGGGGAATGAGGAGTTGGCCCAAGACTAAGAAATGACCCTGGGGGTTTAAGTGGCAACAGATCTTGGGGTGGTATATCTCAAGGAGATGAAATGGAAGTTCTCAGGCAGTGACCTTACCACAATCACGTATGTTAGGTAGAGCAGGGAATAGAGTGGGGAAAAGATATGGGCCAACTGTCATTTAGGAAGTGATAGAAAGAGGCTGAATATTTGGAGGTGGGAGAAAAAACCTAAAATGGGAGATAAAAGAATGTCTCAAGTACTAATGAATAAGAAATATATATATTCTGTAAAGAAATGGGTAATGACCAATTTTGATGAGTGCTGTATAACCTTCCTAATGATTACAAGAAATAGACAAAAAGAAGAAAACATTACTGAGTTGAGAAAAAAATTAATGCTTGTTAAATCATCAATCATATTTGTCAATGTGAAAGTTACCTAAAAATAAATTCTAGGTTACTGTTTGATAAATGATTATGATAACATTACCAGTGATAAATCACTGGAGTCACCTCCATAGCTCTCACTGAGGTTACTAGATTGTTGAACCCTTCATGATTTCCTGTATCTTTAACCAAGGATTCTTCTGAGTCAAAGAGACACAGGGTAACAGAAAATAGTGCGGGAAGAGGGTAGTACATGGCTAAAGGCATAGAGGTTTGTAAGTGACCACTGTTACATTGCACTTGTAATACATTATTATTATGCCACTGCTGAACTAAAGTGCACTCTAAGTGTGGTAACATACTTATGGGATTATTGAATCTACGCATCAAGTGCAAATTACTAAGAGGAAATATTAACAGAATCTTCACATATATTAATAATAGAAAACTACCATTCTAATCCCTATATCTGTTGAGTTACCATTTACACAAGTCATGGACAATATTAGTTGAAAAACAAAAAATTAATCTTCACCTGGCACTGTCTTTGGTACATTTTCAGTTCTTGCAAGAGCTTCTGATTTTCATCTTGTAATTTATTCCTGCTTAGTGCTATCTCACTTACAGCTGATTTTAGTTTTTCAATAATGAACTCATCTCTTTCACCGATTTCACAATTGGGATCTGGGTCACACATCAAATGAGGAATTTCAGAGCTGCTGTCTTCTAAGCACTGTTTTTTACCATTTAGTTGAGTTTGGTAACTTTGTGCCTGTTTCTGAAAAACATAAAAACTGTGTAACTCAAATGAAGAATGTCATATTTAAGCTTACATGAAGTTCAAGAATGATAGAAAATAATTAGTAGGAATATCTTTAAATATGTTACTAGATAATGAAAGTTGGGTCTTTGTAATTCAGTCTTGTATTTGTTTTAAAATTTTAATTTCAGATGGCATAAAGAGAAAATATATTTGTATAACCTCAGAGCAAAGATGTAGAGTAGAGAAGGAGGTTAGTGGTAGTAAAGCCATATCAAGCAAGAAAAAAAATCTAGAAGGTGTAAAAAGAAAATTATGAATTCAATTATACAATGGTTGAAAAAAGTCTATAACTAAAAATAAATACAAACAAACAATTTGATTGTAGGGGAAAAGTTGTCAGTGCATGTAACAGAGTTAATAATTCCTAATGTACAAACACTTCTACACATCAATAAGAAAAGGCAAACAACACAAAAGAAAAATGGGCAAAGTTTATGAATAGGCAATTCACAGAAAGACCTGAGAAAGGCTAAAAAGTATATGAGGAGATGCTCCGTCTTATAAGTAGCCAAGAAAATACGAAGTAAAGCAAGCAATCTTAAACTCTCTGAGTGCCTTGCCTGTAGGCATACAAAAACATATGGTATTTAATGACACAATAACAATGGATTTTTAAATAGCTCCATCCTTTGAGACATGTAGACTAAATTCACCATTAACAGATATTCTATGCACTTATGACCGTACCCACCTTTGGACCTACTCTGGTGATTTTTTTCTTAGTTGGCATTTCTGTTTGTAAATAGATTACATGCTGAATGGTAAAGATACCAGTATTTAACTTCTACTTTTGATTTAGAGAATAGTATTAGATAACTTACCTGAAACTGATTACACTTCTCAGATAATAATTTTTGTTGAGCATCTAAAGAAATCAGATGAGTCTGATATAGTATCTCTTGCTTGTCCCATTCTCTTGACTTCGCTCTAAATTCCTTTTAAAACGTGGGGAGACAAACATTGAAAAATATTATTCATTTTAAAGTACAACAAATAGGGCTTCTTTCATTTGTACATCTTCATTCTGAGAAAAAAAAAAAAAGTAAATCCATTCTTTACCTATTAGGGAAAACAAACAAACAAAAAAAGGTGTCAAATCATTCATGTTGGATTTTTTTACCATCTCTAATTTTTGCTAGGAAAATACAGAATTTGTCACTTATTGTTAAAAATATAAGAAGTCTCTCTTATAACAAATACTTATTAGTAATAAGGGAATTTCAAACAACTTTTTTTTGTTTTTGCAGTAGCCAGTACTTTCTATTTGTTGACACGAAATATTTTTTCCTTCATTCATTCAGTTGCCAAATTTGTTCTCTTGTTTTTTTTAGAGGGTGGGGCTTGGACTTATTTAGTGACTGTTAAGGACTGAATGTTTGTGTCCCCCGCAACAAATGCATACGTCAAGCCTAAACCCCAATGTGACGGCATTATGAAGTGGGGCCTTTGGGAGGTAATTAAGTCATGAGAGTGAAGCTCTCATGAATGGGATGAGTGCCCTTGCAAGAAGAGCTATGAGAGATTTTGTTTCCTCTCTCTTTCTTTCTCCCTGCCGTCTGAGGATACAAAGAGCAGACAGCTGTCTGCGAACCAGGAGAAGGGCCCTTACCAGAATCTGATTATGCTGGGTGATATGGTTTGACTCTGTGTCTCCTCCATCCAAATCTCACATTGAACTGCGATCTCGAGTGTGTGTGTGTGTTAGCAGGGGCCTGGCGGGCATGGGGGTAGTTTCTTTTTCTTTTTCTTTTTGTTTTGAGATGGAGTCTTGTTCTGTCGCCCATGCTGGAGTGCAGTGGCACGATCTCGGCTCACTGCAACCTCTACCTCCCAGGTTCAAGTGATTCTCCTGCCTCAGCCTCCTGAGTAGCTGGGATTACAGTCACATGCCACCACGCCCGGATAATTTTTTGTAATTTTTAGTAGAAACAGCATTTCACCATGTTGGTCAGGCTGGTCTCAAACTCCTGACCTCGTGATCCGCCTGCTTCAGCCTCCCAAAGTGCTGGGACTACAGGCGTGAGCCACTGCGCCTGGCCTGGTGGTTTCTAGTAGTTTAGTACCATCCCCCTAGTGCTGTCTCTTGACAGAGTTCTCATGAGATCTGGCTGTGTAAGTGTGTAGCACTTCCTGCTTTTCTCTCTCCCTCTCTCTCCTCCTGGCCACATTAAGACATGCCTTGCTTCCCCTTTGCCTTCCACCATGATTGTAAGTTTCCCAAGGCCTCCCCAACCATGCCTCCTGTACAGCCTGTGGAACTGTGAGTCAATTAAACCGTTTTTCTTCATAAATTACCCAGTCTTAGGTAGTTCATTATAGCTGTGTGAGAATGGATTAATACACAGGCACTCTGATTTTGGACTACCAACCTCCAGAACTGTGAAAAATAAATGTCTGTTGTTTAAGCCACCCAGTTTATGGTATTTAGTTATAGCAGCCTGAACTAACTAAGACAGTGACTTTGCCCCTTGTGGCCATGGCCAGGCCTCATTTAGGCAGTACCAACTGGTATACCTGGGAAAGAAATGGTAGAAGTAGGTTGATAAAGCAGGATCAGTTCTTTAAGTTTTTGCTCAAGTAGTGCAATTATACAGCATGATTATCTGTTCACATCTTAATAACATAAGCAAAGGATATAGCTCTGGGGATGCCAAAGAAGACATTGCTGCTTCTCCATTTTGCCTAGGGCTGACTATTTATATCCTATCTTTCTGTCCAGTCTTTAAACAACTTGAGGGTAACGGCTGTTTATTACTTTTGTAACATTCACAGTGCCTGACAAAGTACCAGGTGCCATTTACACAACATGAACGTACAAACAAAAACATGGTACAGTATTAGCATTTCCTAGAAATTAAACCTTCTCAAAAAATTTTGTAAAGAAAACAACATGGTTGGAAACAAACTCCATAGCTATTAAATCCATGACTATATATCATTGCATATAGAAACATGACAAGATGTAGTGATGTTTTCAACCCTCAATTCATTAATATTTATTGAGCAGTTAATGTCCACCAGGTTCTGTGGAAAGAAGAAAATCTGGAACTATTTCATAATTTTAAAAATTTTTTTGAAAGAAAAACATCAAGGAATATCTAATAGAGAAATGTACACACAAACAAATAATTTTACAATTACATCAGTATGTTAAGTACAATAATGCTGACACATAAAAGCCACGCAGATGATATTAAGATTATCTTGGCTATTTCCCATAATATATCAAATTGGAACAGTTCATTATAGTCAGAGTGGTTACTATTGTTTTGAAGATGGCTGAAATGACTGGATTGGCAATGCTGGAAAACAAATACTAATTTAGAGAATAAAAGCTTTATTTTGTTAAAATGAGAAGAACATGGCATTCCATATTTTCTATACAGAAATAATTTTAAAGTACATTTAAGGAAATTTTAGTTTTTAAAATCCATAAGTACCTAAACAATCAGTGAAGGAAGGCTCTAAATTAGGAAGTTTTTATGGTAATGAAAGGTGGGTGACCTGATATTAAGTGATAGTATTAATGTTGATGAAGTATGGAAAGACCCTCCATATATAACAATAGCCCATGATAAACAGACTATATTTACTATGATAAATGGAGATAGTCCATTTAAAGTTATTGACTTCGATTCTGACATTCAACATACAAAAATTAGGTACATAAAAACAGGGTCTTTAGCAATAATGACAAATTTATAAAACTAGGCTCTAGTAGAAAATAGCTAACATTTCAAATTAATGCAATCTAGATTTTAAAAATTTCTGTTTGCTTTTAATTTAAAAGGGAATCTTTGGATTTAGAAGTCAAATTTTGTAAGGTTGACTTAAGCTGTTCATATGTTTTAGATAATACAAATATTTAGTATTTCTTACCCATTAACCTCAAATAATCTTGAAAGTAAATATTCCCCAGGATGTTTTAGAGGCAGAAGCATTAACCTCAACTTCTTATAAATACTACAACAGGTAGAAGTGAGGCCAAGAATAGCTAGAAATGTGTGTCACAAACATCAGCAGGTGCTTATGACAATCCTGGCTTCCTTATTGTCAGATGTACTGGTTTCACAACTAGCAAGTCAGTGCAATATATGCAATAGTGTGGAACCATGCAGGGACCTAGAGAGCTTCATAAGGGTTTTTATAGAGACAAGAGTTGTCACAGTAGGCTTCAGAGGGTCTGTAGACTTGCCTGGACCTCCAATAGTAAGTTATTCATGGCTGGAAAAGTTTTTCTGGATCTTTAAGTTTCAGAGTGGATCAGGGTCATTAAAATTAGTTTCTCTTGATAGCTGTATTAGATGTTTTAAAAAGCCCTCTAATAAATATTGGAGATGGTCTTTAGTGATTACTATATGTTGGAGACCTTTACCTGTAAAACGGTTTTAACTTTTTATTATGAAGATTTTCATACATAGAGAGTAAAACAAACCTCCATGTACCCTTCACCCAGTTTAACTACCATCAACTTAGTCCATCTTTACTTCTCCTATCTCTCCACCCTTTTTTTGTTGGTATATTTTAAGGCAACTTCTAGACCTCATGTGTTTTCATCCCTAAATGCTTCAGTGTGCATCTAAAGTTTTTTCACCATAACAACAACATTACACATAAGGTATTTTAAACCCCATTTACTGATGACAACATGGAATCTTGGTGAGGCAAACAACTTGCCTATAGGTCACAGGGCAAACACATGAGTCAGGTAAGGCCTGTTTTCAGTTATCAGTGATCATGTTCTTCAGCTACTACATGTGGTGCACTGCTATTACTATACTGCTATTAAATGCCTCAAAGGAAAAACAGGTTTACCTGCAGACTAAAACTGGACGAGCCTATCTCTTACACATTAATTTATCAGATGGCTATAAGTAAAAACAGGTACATGAAGTGTTTTTATAATTATTTCAAGTTAAACTGTATATCTGCATAGAGTCCTTAAAAACTTTTGTGTAAGTACAAACATAGCAAAACATGTTGCTACTAATTTCCACTGTAATTTCATTACATATATATAATGTAAATATTTAGTTTCCTAAATGTAAAATGTGCATACACAAGGTATCTGATAATAACTTAAGGGTTTTTTTTTTGTCTGAACAATTTTTATTAATGTAGTTCTGCCACAAAAGCCCATGAAAAGTCAGTCAAATGGATAATTAATGACTCAATGTCTTCATTTTCAGTGAAAGCACATGTATGTTACAGTGCACATCTATCAGCATCTTCCATGAGATCAGGATATTTCTGAAGCCCTACTGGTTATACCACTGTAAGAGCCTGGGAGTACAACACAGTGCATTTTCCTGGAGGGCCAACTTACTTAGTGATGGTAAGTTTGTTTTTTAAAAAAACTATGTATTATTCAGAAGCATTTAAAATGTGCTGGACTTTTAAAGATTAAAATCTAGGACTTCCTACAAAGTTCTTATAATAAGCCGATTTTAGGGCTGTGATCCCGGATTTAATGCTCTTTAAGATATTTTAAAGTAGAAGGACTTGTTAATTAAAGAATAAGATGAAAAAGTGCTGGCAAGGGGAGGGATGCTGGGGTTTAGGGCTTGAGAAAAAATGGAAGAAATTAAGTGGGATAACGTAAGGGTCAACTTGAAGTCAATTAAAAAAATAATAATTGAGCAGTACTCGGAATCCAGGTAAAAGTAGATGATAGGAATTTATAGTGTAATCTTTCTGCTGTTCCATGACTTGTAGGAGGAATGCTCAAGAACACAGGGAAGAAAAATAGCTGGTTTGTTTTTTCCAAGGTTGGGAAACGAAGAAGATAAGAGTAAGTGCATCAATGATATAGTGAATTTTTAAAGTTTTTTGTTTTTAATTTTTATGGGTACATAGTAGATATATACAGTTATGAGGACACAGTGAATTTTTTTGAGAGACCAAAATTTTAGAAATTCTGAGTGCTATCGGGCAATTGAATTGGAGTGACACTATGCCTTTAAAGAAAAAAAACCATGAAACTTCAAGCCCTGTTTTAAAAACTGTGATGAGGCTTCATTGGGATTTAAGTACCTAACAGCTAAATGGCCATTAAAAGATTTATTAGATATTCACTTTAACTGACCCCATGGGTGTCCTTCAATTTTACTCAACAGCTGCAGTTTCATTTGACTTTTTGGCTTTTTTTTCTCTCCCAAAATGCTGTTATATAGTAAAGATGTATACATCAAAGTGATGTTTTAATTCACTAAGTGCCTGAAGGGAAGGTGCACTAAGAAAATATATTCAATGAGAAGTTAGTTTGTAATAGTGTTTATTACCACAACTGAAGACACCATTGTGGACACTACAGACAAATAGCCCACAACAACAGGAATCAATCTTTAATACACATAAAGAATCTAAGATAATATATCTCACCTCTAATTTCTGGTTCAAATTGCTCAGTTCAAAGGGTAATTCTTCTTTAAGGTGTGGTAATTCTTTTCGTGGAACTTTGTTTTGTTTCATCTGATGTAATCTCAGTTTTTCAAAGCTATTTGTTAGTTTGGAAAACTGTAAATCACAGAAAATGTTAACATTTTACTATTACCAATTATTTCTAACCTGATTTCTCTATCTCTTTTCCTGTGTGCCTCTTTGAAAATTTAAGTCATGATTAGAAAGTGCAGTAAAGCTTAAATGTTTCAATTAGTGAAGACAGAACCAGTTATTGAAACTAAATTATTGAAGCTGAACACAATTCAGCTTTCATGTAAACTTGAGACTTCATTAACTGCACAGTTAAACAATGATTCACTTGATAAATGGCTTGTTCAATTTTGTTTTAATCATACGCAGTAAAGCTGACAATTTTTTTAAAAAACAAGTTTTTTCTTACTTTTAGTTAGTGCCATCTTGTGTTGACAATTTTAAATCCAGTAACTCAATCTACAAAATAACTAGCTTATACCTTACTTAAGAAAACAGAATATATATTAATTTAAAAGGCATAAGTAACATAAACCACTTATTCATGTGGATACATTTAAATAAATTTTAATATCAAAATTGATCTAATATTTTTCTTACTGATAATTCTTTTTACAACTTTGTATTATTTTTTCCATTTCCTGTTCTACATTCAAATTATAGATTCAAAATAGCATAGTTTATGAATATTTGTGAGGAAACTTCTATACTCATGTATCTGCTTTCAAATGTGTCTTATTTACACATTTTATTTTAAAATAATTACAGGTTTACAGGAAGTTCCAAAGTTATTACTGAGGTCCCAGATTCTCTTCACACAGTTTCCCCCAATATTTACATCTTATTGAACTACAGTACATCAAACCCAGGAAACTGAAATTGGATCAATATATGTATATAGTTCTCTGCCATTTTATCACATATATAGATTTATCTGACCACAACCACAATCAAGATATAAAACTATTCTGTCACCACAAAGATCTCCCTCATGCTATCCCTTTAGAATCACACTTAATCCCCTCATCCCCCAACCCCTAATCACCGAAAACCACTAATTTGTTTTCCATCTCCATAATTTTGAGAATGTTATAAAAAGAAATCATACAGCACATTAACTTTTGAGATTGTATTTTTTTTCACTCAGCTTAATGTGAGATCCATGCATAAATCAATAGTGGATTCCTTTTCAGTGCTGAATTGTATTCCATGGTATAAATGTATCAGTTTGTTTAACCATTCATATACTGAGACATTTTGATTTTTTCCAGTTTTTGCCTACTGTAAATAACACTATGAACAATGATGTCTACTTTATCAGATATTAAAGTAGCCACTTCTGCTTTTTTTCTCATAATTTTAAATTGAGATATAATTCACCTACTATAAAATTCACCTGAATAATATTCCATTGCATAAAATCACTACATTTTGTTTATCCATTCATCAACTGATAGAAATGTGGGTTTTTTCCACTTTGAGATATTATAAATAATGCTGCTGTGAACACTTACATAGAAGTTTTTGTGTAGATATATGTTTTACTTTCTCTTGGGTATATACCTAGGAGTGGAATTGTTGGATCTTATGGTAACTTTAACTTTTTGAAGAACAGCCAAATTGTCTTCCAAAATGGCTGTACCATTTTCCATTCCCATTCACAATGCATTGGGTTCCAATGTCTCCATATCCACACCAACACTTGTTGTTTTCTATCCTTTTTATTATAACCATCCTAGTGGATGTGAATGGATATTGTGGTTTTGGTTTCCATATACCTAATGACTAATGATGTTAAGCATTTTTATGTGCTTATTGGCCATTCGTATATCTGCTTTGGATAAATATCTATTCAAATATTTATCCATTTTAAAATTTGGTCATCTGTCTTTTATTATCAATTAGTAAGTTATTCATATATTCTAGATACCAGTCCCTTATCAAATATATGGTTTGCAAATATTTTCTCCCCATTGATGGGTGTCTTTTTAGTTTCTTGATGGTGTCCTTCGAAGCAAAAAAGTTTTAAAATTTTAATGACATCAAATTTATCTAATTTTTGTTGCTTGTGCTTTTGGTGCCATATCTAAGAAACCATTGCCTAATCCAAGGTTATGAAGATTTACTCCTATGTTTTCTTCTAAGAGCTTTTTAGATTTAGGTTTTACATTTGGATCTTTGATCCATTTTGAGTTAATTTTTGTCTATGGTTTAAGGTAGGGGTCCAACTTAGTTCCTTTGCATAAGGATATCCTCTTGTCATTGCACCATTTGTAGAAGAGACTAATCTTTCTGTATTGAATTATCTTGGCACCACTTCTGCTTTCTTTCTATTAATATTTGCATGGTATATTTCTCCATCTTTTTAATTTCAACCTGCCTATACAGTTATATTTGAAGTGAGTTTGTCATTTTTTTTATTTATTGTCAATCTCTGTCTTTCAGTTGGTGTATTTAGACCATTTCTATTTAATGTAATTATTGATATGTCATGGCTTAAGCCTTTTTTTGTTTCCTGTTTGTTCTCTAGCTTTTGGTTTCTCTATTTTCACTTTCTTGTCTTCTTGTGAATTACATAAGCATTATTTTAGAATCCATTTTATCTATAGTGTTTTTGAGTATATCTCTTTGTAGATCTTTTTTAGTGGTTGCTCTAGGCATTACACTGTATTTACATAATTAATCACAGTCTATTGGTGTTTGACATCTTTCCAGTTCAAGTGTAGAAATCTTACTTTCCTTTATGTTCTTTTACTCTGTTCCATTTATAACACCATTATCTTAGTGTTTCCTGTAGGTATACTGAAAACCATATTAGACATGGTTATAATTTTTTGCTATCAAAAAATTTAGAAAATACAAGAGGATAAGGAGAGTCTATTGCATTTCCCCTCATGTTTTTTACTCTTTTTGGTGTTTTTACTTCTTCGCTGATGTCTTAAGATTCCTTGTTTATCATTTCTTTTCTGTTACGAGACCTTCCTTTAGCCATTCTTTTAGGGTAGGTCTGCCAGCAACAAATGCTTTTAGTTTTCCTTCCTTTGAGAATGTTTTAATTTCCTCTTCATTCCTGAAGGGTATTTTTGCCAGACCTAGAATTCTGGGTTGAAAGCTCTGTTCTTTCGGCACTTGAAAGCCTCCATCATTTCCAGAGAGAAGGCCACCATTATCAGAATTGGTTCCCCCTATAGGTAAGGTTTCATTTCTTTCTTGCTGCTTCCAAGATTGTTTTCTTTGTCTTTTGGTTTTCAGAACTTTGACTATGATGTGTCTTAACACAGCTGTCTTTTGATTTATCCTGTTTGAAGTTTACTCAGCTTTTCAATCTGTAGGTTTACTTTTTTTTTTTTTTTTTTGGGCTAAGTTTTATAACTTTTCAACCATTATTTCTCTGAATGCTTTTTCACCCTCCTCATCTTTCTCCTCTCCTTCTGGGTTCTCTGATGATGTAAATTTTAAATTGCTTGTTGCCATACTACATGTTCCCAAGGTTCATTTTCTTTTACTCTTTCTCTCTGTTGTTCAGATTGGGTAGTTTCTATTGTATTATCTTTGAGCTGATTCTTTTCCTTCTGTCCTCTTCATTCTGGTTTTAAGTCCATCCATTGAGTTTTAAAATTTGGTTATTATACTTTTCAGTTATAAAATTTCTAATTGGTTATTTATATTATTTATTTGCCAAAGCTTTATAATTTTTCATTTATTTCAAGCCATATTTGTAATAATTCATTGAAGTATTTTTATAACAACTGCTTTAAAATCAGATAATTCTAATGTGTGTCATCTTGGCCTCGGCATCTGTTGAGTGTCTTTTCTTATTCAAGTTGAGATCTTCTTGGTTCTTTCTATAATGAATGATTTTTATTGATACTTGGACATTTTTGTGTATTGTGTTTTGAGACTCTGGATTTTATTCAAATATTGTGTTTTAGCAGTCCTCCTCTGACAATTTCTGGAAGGGAAAAATGGAGTGCCACTCCATTACTGCCAGGGGATAGTGGATGTCCAGGTCTTCACTTGGCTTCAGTTGGTATCCAGTGGGAGGTGCTCCTTATTACTGCTGATTTGAAGTGGGAGTTCAGGCTCCCCACTAGTCTTTCACTGATACACTTTGATTGAAGGGTCATGGGTGCCTTGTAACTATTCTCACATGGCCTTCAGTGATACTATAGTGGGAGTGGGTGAACTTGTCACCACTAAGCAGTGGTGACTCCTCAACAGCCTTCCTATAACACCTGAGACTGGAGAGGGAGCGGTGCCTCCTTACCACCAGGTAGGTGTAGAAGTCCAAGCTCTCCACTATCACCACGGGTTGATGAGGGCCTTGTTAATATCTAGTAAGGATGAAAGTCCTGGTTCTCCATTCAGTCTTCCCAGATACTACCCAGGAAAGAGGGCCAGGGTTACCTTGTTACAGCTTAGTGAAGGCAGAAATCTAAGTTTTTTCACTAAGCCTTTGTAGGTGGCAGTGGGCCTGTAGTTTTCTCCCTCCCTCCCTCCCTCCCTTCCTTCCTTCCTTCCTTCCTTCCTTCCTTCCTTCCTTCCTTCCTTCCTTTCTCTGTTTTATGAGGCTGGAGTAGAGAGGTTGTTATCTAAAAATGTATTATCTTGCAGGCTGTCTCTCTTCTGGACTTTTGGATGGAGACAGCAGACTTTCCTTGGGTCTCTTTTTGTTTGTTTGCTCCCATTGGCATAACTGGGTTGCCTGCTTCTGTGTTACTCAGTCTGAGATATATGAGGCAAAAACAAATCCTAGGGAACTCACTATTGTAACATTCTTTGAGTCCTAAGGTCCTTAGCCAATCTCTCTCTTCTCTCCACTTCTCAGAATCTTATTTTATAAATGATGTCTAATTTAGTGGGAGGATAGGGAAGAGTATATCTATTCCAGAAGCAAAAACCTCAAATATATGTATTTAAAATTACAGTTTTATAATGGTTAGAAGGAAAAAAATAACTCCTTTTTAAAAGGAAAGCAATTTCTAAAAGGAAGCTTTGACAGAGTTGAGTTATTCAAGGCACAGTGTGGTAAAGTGTATCCTTAAGATGTTTCAGGAAAATGAAATTGTAAATAAAACAGAAATTTCAAAGGAGGAACCTGTAGAGTGAGCTGGCAGCAACAAAAGCGTGTTAGCCACAAGATACCATTTCTGCTTAGAAAAACAGCATATTACTACCTTTATGCAAACCAAATCAAGTACATAGTACTTTTCTTTTTCTCTCTTTTTCCCTACTTTCCTCTTCCTTCTCCTTTGCTCTCCTTCCCTTTCTTCCTCCTTTTCTTTTAACTAGAGAAAAAGAGAAGCAGAAAACTGCAGTGAAAACAGGTGGCTCTCAACAATAATGTAGCACTCCTAGTGTATTCCATGAAACCCCTGTTTACAGTAGTATTAGAAGGTTTTAGCTTAAATAAATAAATAAAAGAGAGCTCCATTGTCCAATATCTTTGGAACATGATGGAATGGAAAGGCTAAATCAGTTTGTTTAAGGCAGGACTTCTTATGGCCTGTAATATGCTAATGTGTACTCTTAATCTCCAGGAGGGGAGGAGTCTTAACTTGGCCAGCATTAGCTTAAACAGCATTTCCTAAACTCACAGTGTTTTCCACAGAACAAATTTTTATGAAGTTACCATAAAGATATTTTTTGGTTAGCACTGAAAACCAGCCATCAGCCAAATAATAAAATAGAACTGCAAAGCATCAAATGGCAAGGATTCATATATTAAATGACCGTTTGGCACCTGTAAACAAAGCCAAGAACTTTTTAACAAGAGGAAAACATACCCAAACAGAAATGAAAGATTTGGAAAGCAGTGACTGAACTGGTTAAATACAACTTAGAGATGACACCTAACTTATTTCTAGATTTCTGTATTGTTTTCAAACCTACTACAGATTGTGATCTCTTTATTTATATTGACCAATATGTAATGATTTAATGTTTATGTTGTTGTTTTAGAGCCTTATCTTTATAGAAAAATAAAGGTTGAGTTGACTTACATGCTAAATGCTCAGAGTCTAAGCTAGTAAAAACCATATATAATTTCATAACTCAAGCTACCATATAGTGGCAGTTACTTGAACTGTAGGCAAAATGTCTAGGTAGACTAAGAACTAGTCTTGTAAAATCATCTGTTAAGTGGCATCGAATGTTTCATATTCCAATCTTAATGGCTTAATTACCTTCCTAAAAGGTATTTTAAAAGGATCATTAACTACTTTAAGCTCCTTTAACGAAATTATCATATGTGAAATATTTGTACTCTAAAAAAAGTTGGTTGTAAAGTAAAATTTCATAATCAAACCATATTTCCCATTGATTCATTCACTAAGTTAAGCAAAGATACAGCATCTACTACATTTGACATACACAAATGATTACTACCCTATGTGCTATCTGTGGTAAAGAAGGCATTTTGGTTGCCTCCTTTGTGTGAAGATACAGGGATAAGTGAAAAAGAAATCTGTATCCTCAATACATATGAAGAAGCACTATCATGTAAGAAACAGTGCTACCAGTAATAAGGTAATAAAGACCAGTTTTATTCTTTCAATTATCTATTTCATAATCGCAAACTTCCATATTTTAAATTATCACAGAATTGAGAACATCTTTATTAGATAGGAATAACCAGGAAAGATAATTGTTTTTTGTTGTTGCTCACAAAATTTTTTTTTGTGAGCTAATTGTCATTTAATTCATCAACAAGTCTCTTGAGAAACAGAAAGCCATTTGTCAAGTACTGTGCTAACAGAGGTACAGAAGTTATAGCAAGCCAACAATCTAGTAAGAGACAAAATCAATGCATATAAAACAGGGAAAGACATGACTAAGCTTAGAATTAAAACACAAGAACATTTATTTATACTAAAAACAATTAGTTTAAATAAAATTAACACAACTCTATAGGTCAAAAATATATCAAAATGTGTGATATTAAATTATAATAAGTTTTCTTACTTGAGCCTTTAGGCTTTGTAGTTGTCCTTCATAATTCTGAGTCATTGCTAAATTACATTTTTCTAGACTGTCCAATTTCTGTCGAAGCAACCCTACCTGCATGAAGAATAAAATTTAATTTTACTTTTTCTAAATTTTGCCTGACAAAATCAGAAAATGTGCAAAAGAGAAGAACAATTCAAATAAAATGGCTTTACCAAACCAAGAGTAAATATTTGTACTGCACTTCTTAAAATAGCTATCAATAATTAAATTCACAAAAACCAAACATTGCTAGCACTATTCCACAAGGTACACATTAGGACAGTACGGATGTTTAACAAAAGATCCTTATCATCATCACATTTAAAATTCAGGGTTAGAATTTACTTTGCATTATCCTTTTGGGAGGCTATGTCATCATTACTCAGGCAAAACCTCTACCAATATAATTCAGCTTTTGTGTTTTCTCCATTACCTTCAAGAGGATCTCTGTTTTAGTGGTATTATGAAATAATTGTTACATTTTTGTAACAAGTAATATGTTAAAAAGAAAAAGAAAATTGTCTAAGAGCAGTTCCTAAGGATTTGGCTTATATAATTTGTCTGTTTAAAAGGCAGATGAGGCACTTGCTTACATATCTGTGTCAGTGTATATATAAAAGCTAGAAGAAGAAGAATGCATATGCCATGTCTGATGACCTACCTCTACTGTGAAGGAAAACTAGATGCCAGTAACTAAGTTACCTATGCCAAACAATAATATAGTTAACTATGCCAAAAAACTAGGTTCCACTGAGAAGTCAATAAAGGTAGAAAAATGGCTGATGAACAAGTTAACTAATGATGTTTTTGTTACAGTATATAACTAGCAAACATTTCTCTTAAACATTTCTTTTTCCAAAAGAAAAATTCACAGACACAAAGTCCACATTAGATAAAGCGTATGGTTTTCCTGAACTCCTTCACAGCCCTGAGAGCACTCATATATTCTTTTATGACCACCAGCTTGGCAGTGAGCAGCCTAGAGGGACTGAGGAAACTCCTCTTAAGTGGATGTCCCAGGTATAAACACACACCCCTTTACCAAACTCTTTTCTCCTTTGTCCTATAATCAATTTTTGACATCTTCTATTTTTTCCAGCATATTCAAAGAAGCAAATGTTACTGAACTCTACCTTGTCCACAGTTTTGATGACTACTTCTTTGTTTCTACAGCAGCAAAAGTACTTACATCTTTACTTGCAAACAATATTTTACATATATGTTAAATATTTGCTTACTTTTACAGATGGCATTGACACTACATATCTGTCTCTACCAGCAAATATCTATGGATTTAGGTTCTGATTGTCACTTATTTGATATAATACATTTAGCCTATAATTTGCTGACAGAATTTCAAGCAATAAAGGCTCTTGCTGATGCCTGATAAAAAGTATGTATAATAAAAATATATTCTGATAGAATACTATGTATAACAATCTGATGAATTAGCAATTTGTTAACATATGTATTCAGTACCTCTTGACCTTTCTGATCCAAACAAGTTTGTGCATTTGCCAATTCTTGATCCCGAAGATCTAATCGTGTCTCCAAAGCCCGCATCTTTCTTTCCCAATCCATTTTTTTGTTGCTTACCATGATGTCAATTTGTTCCATTAATTCCTGAAGCTCAGCCTCACAAGGAGAAGTTCTGGCAATTGTAGGAAAGTAAAATACATTTTAAAGTAGTAAAATGTGAGGGCAAGAAAAATTATTACATTGCTCTGCATAGCTTGATCATTATTTCCTGAAATTGTTCAATTATTTAAATGGGAATAAGTTCAAAAGCTGAAGGTTAAATTTTAAAATTAATAAAGTGAATTTCAGAGCTAACAGTGTATATATACTTAATTTTTTAAAATAACATTTTTTAGAGTAGGCTAATTCTAAGGAATATGCTAATTAGGAAAAATTATAAGACTTAGCTTCAGGATCAATGCTCTTCCATATAGGCATACATGTACCTATATCTATCATAACTTCAGAAGGTTTGACAGAGGCAGACTGGGATATCATTCGTGTCTGTTAAGGATAGACGAGCAAGCCTGGGCTAGGTAGGACCAGATTCAAGGGTACCAACTGGGCTACAGTGTGGCTCCTCAAGGAGAGGAATTTGGCATGATATGGCTGGTGTCTGTTTCTAAGGAATTTGATCAGGCAGTGATATGGTTTGGCTGTTTACCCACCAAAATCTCAACTTGAATTGTATCTCCCAGAATTCCCATGTGTTATGGGAGTAACCCAGGGGAAGGTAATTGGATCATGGGGCCGGTCTTTCCTGTGCTATTCTCGTGATAGTGACTAAGTCTCATGAGATCTGATGAATTTATCAGGGGTTTCTGCTTTTGCTTCTTCCTCATTTTCTCTTGCCTCCATCATGTAAGAAGTGCTTTTCGGCTCCCACTATGATTCTGAGGCCTCCCAAGCCACATGGAACTGAAAGTCCAATTAAACCTCTTTTTCTTCCCAGTCTCGGGTATGTCTTTATTAGCAGTGTGAAAACAGACTAATGCAGTAAATTGATACCAGTAGAGTGGGGACTTGCTGAAAAGATAACTGAAAATGTGGAAGCAACTTTGGAACTGGGTAACAGGCAGAGGTTAGAACAGTTCAGAGGGCTCAGAAGAAGACAGATAAATGTCGGAAATTTTGGAACCTCCTAGAGACTTGTTGAATGGCTTTGACAAAAATGCTGATAGTGATATGAACAATAAGGTCCAGACTGAGGTGGTCCCAGATGGAGATAAGGAGCTTTTTGGGAACTGGAGTAAAGGCGACTCTTGTTATATTTTATCAAAGAGACTGGAGGCATTTTGCCTCTGACCTAGAGATTTGTGGAACTTTGAACTTGAGAGAAATGATTTAGGGTATCTGGCAGAAGAAATTTCTAAGCAGCAAAGCATTCAAGAGGTGACTTGGGTGCTGTTAAAGGCATTCAGTTTTAAAAGTGAAACAGAGCATAAAAGTTCAGAAAATTTGCTGCCTGATGATGCAGTAGAAAAGAAAAACCCATTTTTTGAGGAGAAATTCAAATCAGCTGCAGAAATTTGCATAAGTAGCAAGGAGCCTGATATTAATCTCCCAAACCATGGGGAAAATGTCCCCAGTACTTGTCAGAAACCTTCACAGCAGCACCCCCCACCATCACAGGCCCAGAGACCCAGGAGGAAAAAGTGGTTTCATGGGCCAGGCCCAGGGCTCCTGTGCTGTGTGCAGCCTAGGGACTTGGTGTCCTGTGTCCCAACTGCTCCAGCCATGGCTGAAAGGGGCCAATGTAGAGCTTGGGCTGTGGCTTCAGAGGGTAGAAGCCCCAAGCATTGGCAGCTTTCACATGGTATTGAACCTTCAGGTGCACAGAAGTCAAGAATTGAGGTTTGGGAACCTCTGCCTAGATTTCAGAAGATACATGGAAATGCCTGGATGCCCAGGCAGAAGTTTGCTTCAGGGGTGGGGCCCTCATGGAGAACCTCTGCTAGGGCAGGGCAGAAGGGAAATGTGGGATGGGAGCACCCACACAGAGTCCCTACTGAGGCACTGCCGATTGGAGCTGTGAGAAGAGGGCCATTGTCTTCCAAACCCCAGAATGGTAGATCCAACGACAACTTGCACTGTGCACCTGGAAAAGCCACAGACACTCAATGCCAGTCTGTGAAAGCCTTGTGGGAGGCTGTGTCCTACAAAGCCATGGGGGCAGAGCTCCCCAAGACCATGGGAACCCACCTTTTGCATCAGCATGACCTGGATGTGAGACCTGAAGTCAAAGGAGATCATTTTGGAGCTTTAAGATTTGACTGCCCTGCTGGATTTCAAACATGCGTGGGGCCTGTAACTCCTGTTTTGGCCAGTTTCTCTCGTTTGGAATGGCTGTATTTACCCAATACCTGTACCCCCATTATATCTATGAAGTAACTAGCTTCCTTTGATCTTACAGGCTCATAGGTAGAAGGGACTTGCCTTGTCTCAGATGAGACTTTGGACTGTGGATTTTTGGGTTAATGATGAAATGAGTTAAATCTTTGGGGGACTGTTGGGAACTTGATTGGTTTTGAAATGTGAGGATATGAGATTTGGAGGGGCCAGGGTTGGAATGATATGGTTTGGCTCTCAACTTGAATTGTATCTCCCAGAATTCCCATGTGTTGTGGAAGAGACCCAGGGGGAGGTAACTGAATCATGGGGGCCAGTCTTTCTCATGCCATTCTCCTGACAGCGAATAAGTCTCACAAAACCTGATGGGTTTATCAGGGGTTTCTGCTTTTGCTTCTTCCTCATTTTCTCTTGCCTCCACCATGTAAGAAGTGCCTTCCACCTCTTGCCATGAATCTGAGGCCTCCCCAGCTATGTAGAACTGTAATTTCAATTAAATCTCTTTTTCTTCTCAGTCTCAGGTACATCTTTATCAGCAGCATGAAAACAAACTAAGGCAGGCAGGTTTGGAGAGATACTGTAAGTCTTTAGACAGTGAGGTTACTATTACTCATATACATAGTAATATCTGGGGTCTAGGAGGGTTTATTGAGTATCAAACAAAATGCTTAGTATAACAGCTAGGATTATAGCTACTGTTGTTGAGAAGACAGATTGGTAAGTGCTCTCACTACCAAGTTCTTTTTCAAAGAAGCTTAAGCATTCTCCAGGGAGCTGGCATGAGTCCAGTCACTCAGACTGGATTAGCAGGTAGGTATTGAGGCCTTACACTTCAGCCTAAGGAACATACAAATGTCCAGATTAGAAAAGCGAGTTATTTCAGCATCCATTTCAATGGAGGTAACGAGGCTTCCAATGCATTTGTGTAGCTGGGAGGAAGACAGGAGGGACAGGCAGGTGCAACATGACAGCATTTCCTCCATTTAGTTTCACTAAATCAGAATTTTAGAGCTAATTAAGGATCATTTAGCATTTTGATAAAACTCAGGCTCAGAGAGGCCCAAGGTCACACAGCTAATTAATGGAAGAGCCAGAACTAGATCCTAGGCAGCTGCTTCCCATTTAATGTATCTTCCTGTATACCACACAGCAAAAGACACAGTGTTTTGAATAAGAACATGCTTGAAAAACACAGTACAAATTCGCTCCATTGCAATAAGGTTAGAAACAGGTATTAAAATCCAAAGAATTGAGAATTTCCAGAATCATTTTCTAAGATATCCAGAATCAACCCAAACAGAAGATGTTCCTTTGGTTTATTCAATATGATATTTACCAGTTTTGACATCAGAGAGGTTTTAAGTACAAAGTGCCATTCTGAAGGCTTCTCCTAGCATTCCTGGAGGAATGTGAGGCCCAGAGGCTTTCAATTTTTACTTAAAACCTAAAATAAATCTGACAAAAGATGTATACTAATTCCTCTATAAATAACTTGATTAAATTTTAAGATTGAATTTTAATTGGAATTATAATATAGGGGAAAAGAATAGAACTATGGCCTGGTGGTTTCACACCGTTTTTCTTTTTCATGACAACATGTACCACCCTGTACTGTAAATAGATTTTGTCTATTTTTTCCACTCTGAAGAAAAAGGACTATGTCAATGTAAGCTCTAGGAAAAAAGAACTGTATCAGTCTCATTCATCACCATCTCACCAGAGCCTAGTATATTACTGTAGCACACAGTAGATGCTCAATAAATCTCTGAAGAATGAATGAGTTCCTTTAATTGCCAACTTTTGGCATGCTTAAGAATGTACCATGCTAAGAAAGTTAAAATATAGGCCTACAGTAGAGTCTGGACATAATGTAATCTACTCAATCAATATTGTTGAGTGAATGGTTTATTTCATGGTTATGGTTATGCTATGCAAAAGTTAGAATGTTAGACTCTCAGGATGGAAAAACTCTTACAAGTCAACTAGTCCAACTACCCCAACTACCCATCCAGTGTTTGCATTCCTCTACAAATATATATATCTATTTATATATGTATATATTATATATTTATATATATTTATATATGTATATATTATATATTTATATATATATTTATGTATATATTATATATTTATATATGTATATGTAATATGCAAAATATATTATGTAAGAATATGTATTTTATATTAAAAATTATTAAATATGATTATATATAATTTTTTTTGAGATGCAGTCTCGCTCTGTTGCCCAGGTTCGAGTGCAATGGCACAATCTTGGCTCACTAGCACCTCTGCCTCCCAGGTTCAAACGATTCTCTGGCCTCAGCCTTCCAAGTAGCTGGGACTACATGCACGTGCCACCACATCTGGGTGATTTTTTTTTTTGTATTTTTAATAGAGACAGGGTTTCATCATGTTGGCCAGGCTGGTCTCAAACTTCTGACCTCAGGTGATCTGCCCGCTTTGGCCTCCCAAAGTGCTGGGGTTACAGGCGTGAGCCACCGCACCTGGCCCCTCTACAAATATTTCTTAACTGAATCATCTATCATACACTACTGATCAGAATCAGCAGGTCTAGGACAGACCCTAAGATTCTGCATTAGTAACAAAAGCATCAAGTGATTCTGGTGAATTCCAAAGTTTGTGACCTGTTTTTCAATATCACTGCTAAGAAGTTATCCAGCCTAGGTCTGAATTCTTCCCTTAAGAGGTAACCACTGTCTGAGACTGTAGCTAGACAACGTGTTTTAGACAGATCTTTTTTATATTGAAGAAGTTTTCCAT